GTGCTCTGGCATCACAGCTCACAGGAACCTCCAACTCCTGGGCTCAAGCGAGTCTCCTGCCTCTGCCTCCCAAGTAGCTGGGACCACAGGTGCCCCCACAACGGCTGGCTATTTTTTGGTTGCAGCTGTCATTGTTGTTTGGCGGGCCTAGGCTGGATTTGAACCCACCACCTTAGGTGTATGTGGATGGCACCTTAGCCACTTGAGCCACAGGCGCCAAGACAGGTCTTTGTTTTTTTTGAGACAGTCTTACTTTGTCCCCCTTGGTAGAGTGCTGTGGTGTCATAGCTCACAGCAACCTCAAACTCTTGGGCTCAAGCAATTCTCTTCCCTCAGCCTCTGGAGTAGCTGGGACTACAAGCACCCACCACAACATCTGGCTATTTTTAGAGATGAGGCTAGGCTATGCTCTTGCTCAGGGTGGTCTTAAACCTGTGAGCTCAGGCAATGTACCTGCCTCGGCCTGTAATCAGTGCTAGGATTACAAGCGTTAGCTACCTTGCCTGGGCTGTCTCTTTAATCTTGTTTTTTGTTTGTTTGTTTGTTTTTGAGACAGTCTCACTTGTCACCCTTGGTAGAGTGCCGTGGCATCATAGCTCAAAGCAACCTCAACTTCTGGGCTTAAGTGATTCTCTTGCCTCAGCCTCCCAAGTACCTAGGACTAAAGGTGCCTGCTACAGTGCCCAGCTATTTTTAAAGACCAGGTCTTGCTGTTTCAGGCTGATTTTAAATCTGTGAGCTCAGACAATCCACTTGCCTCAGGCTCCCCAGTGCTAGAATTACAGGCATGATCCACTGAGCCTGGCCTTTGGTCTTGATATTAACATTAGTCACATATTCTGAAGTTTGGACATATTTTTATTCAAGTAGGCTAACTGAAATGGTTAATTCTTTTACAAATTGAAAATGTATCCTGGGGGGTGGCGCCTGTGGCTCAGTGAGTAGGGCGCTGGCCCCATATACTGATAGTGGTGGGTTCAAACCCGGTCCCGGCCAAACTGCAACAAAAAAATAGCTGGGCGTTGTGGCAGGTGCCTGTCCAGCTGCTTGGGAGGCTGAGGCAAGAGAATTGCCTAAGCTCAAGAGCTGGAGGTTGCTATGAGCTGTGATGACACAGCACTCTGCTGAGGGTAACAAATTGAGACCCTGTGTCTAAAAAAAAAAAAAAAAAGAAAACTGTATCCTGGAATCATTGATTCTCAGAGACAGAGAACAGAAGGAACCATTTCTTTTTTTTTCTTTTTGAGACAGTCTCACTATGTTGCCTTTGGTAGAGTGCCGTAGTATTACAGCTCACAGCTACCTCAAACTCATGGCCTTAACCGATTCTCTTGCCTCAGCCTCCCAAGCAGCTGGCACTACAGGTACCCGCCACAATACCCAGCTGTTTTTTGGTTGTAGTTGTCACTGTTGTTCGGCAGACCCGGGCAGGGTTTGAACCCACAGCTCTGGTATATGTAGCTGGTGCCCTAGCTGCTGAGCTATAGGTGTTGAGCCAACAGAAGGAACCTTTATCCTTCCTGGCTTCCGACAAATGCAGGGTTTCTGAAAGAAGTGTCTCAGTCTTTGCTTGAATCCCTCTGGGGATGGAGAGCTTATTATTTTTGAGATGACCCATTCCCCCACCCATCCACTCAAATCAGCAGTGATTGTTAGGACTTCTAAATGCAAGTCCAAATCTTCCTACCCATGACTCTCAGACTTTGGTCTGATATTTGCCATGAGGGAAGAAATTCTGAACTATGCTGGCAATCAGAAAACCCCAATGTGGTAATTTACATAATTTACTATCACAAGTTTATAGTAATAAAGAATTTTCCCAATTGCAGGCAGGCCTAGAATATAAGCATGTGTTGATCTCTCCCCTGGTATTTAAAGATGTAGGAAAACTTGAAGATGCTCAGAATAGACTTGCTATCAAACAGCTCATCAAAGAGATTGGGGAACCTCGAAATTATGGTTTAACAGATGAAGAAAAGGCAGAAGAGGAGCGAAAGGCTGCAGAGGAACGCCTAGCCAAGGAGGCTGCTGAGGAAGCTGAACGTGAACACAATGAGGCTGTGGAGATGGCGGAGAAGCTGGCTCGCTGGGAGGAGTGGGTAAGTGTGAGTGAGTCGGTGTGTGTGAGACACAGTGAGTGTGTGTGAGTCTGTGTCAGCAGGGGCACATGGCAAAGCCATTTGGGCCAATTCCACTTCCCATCCTGCTGTACAGAAATGTCATAGAAATAGCCCAAGTAAGGTTTTTGTTTATTTTTTGTCACATGTGCCATTCTGGTCTTTTGCTAAATATCAATAATATTTGATCAATCATGCCTGTAATCCCTTAGGTGGATTGCATGAGCTCACAAGTTCGAGACCAGCATAAGCAAGAGAGAGACCCCCATCTCTAAAAAAATAGATGGGCATTGTGATAAGCACCTATAGGATTGCTTGAACCTGAGAGTTTGAGGTTGTTGTGAGATGAGACGCTATGGCACCCTACTGAGGGTGATCAAGTGAGACTGTGTCTCAAAAAAAAAAAAAAGTATCAATAACAAAAACTGGCCATTGTCAGTAGTATAGTAATACACATCCCTAACCTGCAACAGTCACGCCTGTAATCCTAACATTTTGAGAGGCCACAGAAGAAGGATCACTTGAGGCCAGGAGTTCAATACCAGCCTGGCTGAAAAAAATTGCTACACAGGCTCAGCACCTGTGGCTCAAGTGGCTAAGGTGCCAGCCACATACACCTAAGGTGGTGGGTTC